AGATGTCTGGGCGAAAGAATTCCTTCCCAATATCTTGACATGGCCTATTCTTCTTTAAGGCCGTAACTGGGCGTGTCGAAATTAATCCAGCTGTTTCCCCTCGGATTCGCGCTCCAACAAGAATCACTAAATACACTAGCAATCCGGATCGTGATCACTTTATTTTTAATCAGGCACTGCAAAACAACAATCTTTCAAAGATCGTTTTTTAACAGAACTAGTAGAATATAGAATGCTCTTGCTGCAGACCTTGGACTATCTGTTGCTTGTTCTTTAAGTTCTTTTAAAGCTGTCCTTTACGGTTTTAACGAACAAGCTCTTGTCGCTTCCTACTTCCCTGACGACCCTCGGTCTTTCAAATCTATATGCTTGACCTGTAACGCTGCCCATAATTTAGGACGGAACATCGTCTGTTGTTTATAGATAGTATTGTTAGCTTTTACATTTATCGATCTGTGTCTTGAGCCCGCAGTAATTGGCGCTCGCTGTTGCGGTGTCCCCGCCTGTTCTCAGTCCTGTGAATACATGTACACTTTTTTTTCTGTGTCAATTATCTTGTTGTTTTGCAAAGTTAACAAAAATAAAATAAAATAATAATCACATGACCTCAATAATGCCCTCTGACTGAGTACTATATTTGCTACACAATAATCTCATACTATTAGGTAAAATCCAACAGAGAAAGAGCGCTTGAAAACCAATTTAAAAATGTCTACTACACGCGATGCTCATGTAATTCAAATTACTCTGACAATTAGTTTTGGCGAGGTAAATTAGGTTGTTTGGAACATTAACCACTTCTCGCTGCTGTTTTTATACTTCCCACCGGTCCAGCTTTAAACCGACGGACATAAATGAAACTTGGTACATGTCCCTGGGGGGAGGGGGGCACTTAGGTATTTTTTGGGTGGGTATGTGCCGCCCAGGACTCCAAATTGGCACCCCGTTCTAAAAAAAATGTCCCCTAAAATTGATACCCCCGTTCTAGAAATGGGCCAATTTTTTATACCCCGTTCTAGAAAGTTTGTAAATTGAAATAACCCTGTTTTTTTAAAAGATATGTTCGATTTATACATCAAATAAATGCTTCTTCACAATCATCCGGAGTACGTTTCCTCTGCATGTGGATACAATGCGGTTAATTATGACGCAAAATCTCTCATCACGCACAGAACCACGCTCATACGCTAACGATTTTCCTTCTCCTCCTCCCTCGGGTACATTATAAACTCGTTCCAGACTTCCGCGCACCTATTTATCCAAGATGGCGGAGTCAGCGCTCGCGGCTCGCGCCAAAATACGCCCGCTCTGCACGCTAAAACACAGGGTGCAACAAGAGTACAACAGTTTGCTTGTTAACGCATAGAACCGTAGTTTTAAAAGTAATCTGTCCTTGAATAATTTGAAATGGCTGCTTACAAAACTGGAGCTTTCGTGCGTTCGAAATATTATACCCCGTTCTAGAAAACTCCTCTGAAATGGATACCCCTTTCTAAATCAGGAGCTTCAAAATCACGACCCCGTTGGGCGGTACATACCCGTATAGGTAATGTATGGGAGTATCCCTCCCGGGGTACATGTACATCGTGGTCGATTAGAAAAAAACATTTTCAAATACATGCAGGTCAAGAAGTAATAACATATGTGCAAAACCAGTTGTTACAATGTAAGCCCTCTTCATACATAATAAAACAATCAAGAGTCACTACATTGATGTTTTCGTACATTATAATTTAAGTATATTTTTATACTAAGCGGTCAGGTGTTGTATGCATTTTCGCTATTCACCCAGTAGTCTTAAAAATAATGGAACCTCTATGCATTACTTTTTTTTTATTATTGTTATCATTTCTTTCAATGAGAAAATCTAACTTTGTACAAACTGGCGGAATTAAATCGTATCGCAATTTTATCTCAAAGAAGGGATCAGACATTTAAAAGGTCGTTTCCCCTTTTTTTTTTTTTTGGTCGTAGCTTCTATTTTCACATTTAAATTTATTGGAAGAAAATTTTACTTTTACCATACCAATCAAGGTTTTTTACACAGGGTGCAACAAGAGTACAACAGTTTGCTTGTTAACGCATTGAACCGTATTTTTAAAAGTAATCTGTCCTTGAATAATTTCAAATGGCTGCTTACAAAACTGGAGCTTTCGTGCGTTCGAAATATTATACCCCGTTCTAGAAAACTCCTCTGAAATGGATACCCCGTTCTAAATCAGGAACTTCAAAATCACGACCCCGCTGGGCGGTACATACCCGTATAGGTAATGTATGGGAGTATCCCCTCCGAGATACATGTACATCGTGGTCGATTAGAAAAAAACATTTTCAAATACATGCAGGTCAAGGAGTAATAACATATGTGCAAAACCAGTTGTTACAATGCAAGTCCTCTTCATACATGATAAAACAATCAATAGTCACTACATTGATGTTTCGTACATTATAATTTAAGTATATTTTTATACTAAGCGGTCAGGTGGTGTATGCATTTTCACTATTCACCCAGTAGTCTTAAAAATAATGGAACCTCTATGCATTACTTTTTTTTTTAATTGTTATCATTTCTTTCAATGAGAAAATCTAACTTTGTACAAACTGGCGGAATTAAATCGTATCGTAGTTTTACCTCAAAGAAGGGATCAGACATTTAAAAGGTCGTTTCCCCTTTTTCTTTTTGGTCGTAGCTTCTATTTTCACATTTAAATTTACTGGAAGAAAATTTTACTTGTACCATACCAATCAAGGTTTTTACTTCTTGCCTGAGAACAATGTAAGAAATATGCATAAGGGAATAACTCAGCTCTAGTCAAGTAATAAAAAGTCAAGAGCGGTTGGAGAGTTTTCGATTTTTAATTTCTGTTTCATTATTTACAAATAAGCTCCATAATTTATACTGGATTTGCATAAAATAATTCATCCAGCAGAGGGAAATGAAATGTTCAAGCCACCACATACATTGTGCTGTTAAGATAACAAATAGTTTAGCAGGTGCTTTGATATTTCATAGCTTTTTGCGTTGGAGGGAGACTACCAGATCTGTTGCTTGCATCAGTCTGTTGGTAAGTTAAATTCATTTATCTTTTGATCAACAAATGTAGCTTGTAAAAACTCAGTTTTGCCTATTCCAATTTCAATGTATTAAGGTGTGGAACAGAAAAAAATATTTGTGTCAGTTTCCTTGCTTGCGGCTAAAAGTAGTCTAAAAGTAGAACCTGTCACAACGGATACTATATAGCAGGCATGGGATACGGTGAAACGTGAATTAACGGACTGAGACGTAAATCGTGAGGCAAAGTTTAAAAAGCATCACTTTTAAAATCAATCTAACATTCCCATGAACAAAACACGCTAAGAGACTGGTGATTCATTGGTTCTCCACAAATGATAAAATTTATCGGTGGTAAAACATACAGGAATCTTGTAGTATACGTTTTAAACCTCTAGGGAGAAAATATATTTAGTATTATTTTTGTAGTCTTCTCCAAATTGTGAGCCTTTTTGTGGATTTTGTTAGCTCTTTTTTGTTCCTCTTCTTGTTTCTAAACATTTGAGTTTATACCCTTAACACTTCTTTATATTCAGCAACTCGAATAATTTAAAAAGCTTTTAAATCTCTAGAAAAAAAAGTAGCTGGAGAGACTCAGAAAACATGCTATAATGAGTGTTTAAGTCCAAGATCCTTTCAAACCACATTTACTGTAACTATAGAATCCCTTAATAGTCAGAGTATCGTTCCCTTCAGTTTATTAAGGGGTTTTCGTCATTTTTACACGAGTCTTCGGATAGTTACATCGGATTCCCACTGTTTGTTGGATACAGCGACTGTTAGCATCGAAGGATTTTAATTTTTTGAAAGAAAAAAAAAGTAATAAGTAATAATCCAGAAGGAAAATGTGTGTATTGCAACTCTCACTGTCGAAGCTTACTACCGAAAGTGCTTTTAAGTGAAAATTAATGATGATATAAAAACTTTTTGCATTAGTTTTTGCTTTTAATGTGAGGAATAAAGCAAAGGAAACTTAATTAAATTACATAGCTAATGCGTAATCTATTTAACAGTAGTTTTTTTCACAACGGTTATTGACTTAAGGTAGTCTCCTGTCATGACACGTTCCAAGCTCTATAAATATTTTTGTTGCCTTTACAATTTGAAATCAAATAAATAAAAACATGACTGCATTCTCATGATTGTAATATCAAAAACACTTCCCTGAAACTAAAAGTTTTCTTTTATTTGTTAGTAGTGGTTGGCTCCACTTTATACCCACTTCTAGCTCTTCTTGCGCATGTATAATACTAGCTAGAATTGAGAGAAATAAGAATCCAGTTATTCTTTAAATTGCAGTACTCTTAACACAATAAACCATGCTTAAAACGATAAAGAAATAATGATATACTTAAAAGTTTCTGGGCATGTCAAACTGATACCAATAAAACCATGATTTTTGAATCAGCAAATCAAACTGTGCAAGTAAAAGCCTTCATGCATGGCTGAGTCAATTCCTGTCTGCCCATCACATACACCCCAGGAACGTACACATTATGTATGTTTGAAAAGCTAAATATAAAGTAAATAAATTAATAATTCAAATAAAAATCTTTCATAATGAAGGAAACAGCGACAATATTATGACGAATGGTGACTAAGGGCCTGTTTACATGCAGGTGGGGGGACCACAGATAGCTGAGGTAGCATGCGGCGAATCACCCCATCTACCATGATGTAAACGTGATCAAGTTAAAATGAGAGATTGTATGGAAGGCGGGTTACCCCAAAGCGGGTTACCTTAATTAACTACGGCTGAAGTCCCCCACCTCCATGTAAACAGGCCCTTAACAGTAGTGTTTTGATATATTCAGGTTGATGAGTGCAATCGCCCAACCTCGCAAATAGCCTTCAAATATCCCAGGAGGGAGGTGATGCTTAGAATTGATGAGCCGTCACGCAACTGCTATTTTCTTTTTTTTATTTTCAGAGCATAAAAAATCTTAACATGAATGATAAGAAATTAGAAGAAGAGGAAGAAAGGAAACATCATCGCATCCTTTCACAAAAATGGACAGCATTTATTGAAAATACCACTTTGCATGGTATAAGGAATGTTTTACCATCGCAAAGACCAAAGGTCTCCCGAGTGGTTTGGTCTGTTGTAATGCTGACCTTTGGCGCATTTTTTATTTGCTCCTTTTCTTATGCAGTGAACAAATACCTTCAATATCATACTGTCACCTTGATAACCAAGAATTACAAACAGAATATGTTGTTTCCCGCAGTGAGTATTTGTCCTGACAATTTATTCAGCAGAGGAAAAATTATGATGCAGGACGACGATCCCTTTTTTGCAGCCCAAGGCCTAAATATGAGCGCATGCGAGGTTACTAGAGAGTTACGTAAGCGGAAGATGAACAACATGTCTTGTGGATTAGCAATGATCTGCTGCTGTGCCTTTTTTGGTTATAAAACAAATCCAATTGATTATCCCAACTGCACTAAGCAGAGAAGGAGTGCATTGCAAAAAGTAATTGAAGAATCTGAGGTTCTTTTCAACATGGAAGAGTTCTTCACAGTCTTCAGCCCGGATCCAGCAGAAATGCTATCTCATTATTTTGCATGCGTCTTTCAATGGAGTGAGAACTGCAGTCATTCAGATTTTGAAACCGAAGTGACACAATATGGAATATGCCATACTTTTAATTCTGGCAAAAACAATCGATCCAAAGTTTCCTATAGGGGTGGAGTGAGCAGTGGACTGGCAATATTGCTGAATGTGAGTCANGCGAGGTTACTAGAGAGTTACGTAAGCGGAAGATGAACAACATGTCTTGTGGATTAGCAATGATCTGCTGCTGTGCCTTTTTTGGTTATAAAACAAATCCAATTGATTATCCCAACTGCACTAAGCAGAGAAGGAGTGCATTGCAAAAAGTAATTGAAGAATCTGAGGTTCTTTTCAACATGGAAGAGTTCTTCACAGTCTTCAGCCCGGATCCAGCAGAAATGCTATCTCATTATTTTGCATGCGTCTTTCAATGGAGTGAGAACTGCAGTCATTCAGATTTTGAAACCGAAGTGACACAATATGGAATATGCCATACTTTTAATTCTGGCAAAAACAATCGATCCAAAGTTTCCTATAGGGGTGGAGTGAGCAGTGGACTGGCAATATTGCTGAATGTGAGTCAGTCAGATTACACGCTTGGCCACAAGATAGCACAAGGGTTCTCCATATCGATCCATGCCCAGGGAGAAAGCTTCAATGCCTTTGATGAGGCATTTAGTGTAATGCCAGGGACATATGCTACCATTTCGCTTTCAGAGCAAAGAGTAGGTTTGGTCTATGTCTTTCTTGATTTAATGTTCTATGCCTTCAGGAGATTTAACAAAATAAGAAAAAGTGATATCACTTTAAGCTAGAGTCAAATTTTCGTTTTGGAGATTTCGTTTCTCACGTGTGCAAATGCTGTTTATTTGAAAATGTTGACAAAGTTGACTTAGAAAGGTTAGGATGCAGTGACCTTCCCTCCTTAACTTGAATTGCTTGAAAAGGTTGAGCCTACGTTTAGAAGTTCTGATTATTCGTTGGTAACTGGTACTAGCTATTTTTCCTTTCTTACACCTCAGTTTATATCATTCCTTTTATTAAGCTATTTTTAACCAACATCTTTATGAAAATGGTATCAAAGTTATCTTTCGGCAAAAAAGGAATAATGAGGGTGACCTTTCAAGCTTTTTTTTGTAAAGAGAAATAAATGACGCCGCTACTGTCGATGCTGATGGTGATGATGATGATGTTGATGATATCATGATTTTCTTTTTCATTCAAAGTTCGCGCATCTTGACAGATATGGCAAGAAGTGCAAGACAATGACACTGAAAAGTTTTTCTCGATATACTACAGACGGTTGCCTGGAGGAGTGTAACGCTAAACGTTATATGGAATACTGTGGCTGTCGTCCGGCGGGTATTACTGGTATATATCAGCAGTCCCCACCCAATTTCTTTTAATTTTTTACTGTATGTTGTAAATGTTCCTGTGTCTTTTAAAAGTATCACTCTTACTTTAATAAATATAAATTCTTTTCCAGGGTACATTTTAAGTGTATGTTCGTCAAAAAAAATATGTTGAATGACAAGTTTT